CTGCGTTGGCAGGGTTTTGAACTCAAGACCTCTTGGCTCGGATACCATATTGAATTTATGCTCCAGCTAGTTGCTTCAAAAGTCCTAATTGGTGAAGAGAGGTGGACAATATATTTCAACAGCTAGAAGATATACAGATTTGCACGTTTGACTGGAGTGATCCAGGACTAATCGTTTGCAGTTAATTTTGTATGCCTTTGTCGGTTTGTCCCCGTCGAATCATCTTCTTAACCAACCAGTGCCATTCAACCCTCTCTTATTATGTGTATACGTACATCTTCAGAAACCGCGTGTTTGCGGGTGGCACGGGCAGGCAGTTTATCCTGCAGTAGTTAAATCATGATACCATAGACAAGTGCGGCGCTCACCCGAGAAGTTGGACCAGATGGGAGGTATCAAGCAAGCAAAGTCTATCATGTCCATGGTCATGTAGAACTGACAGTTTTATAATCATCACGCCAACCGCATCTAGTTGACTAACTGCTTCTGATGGGGAAAATGGTGCATTGTCAACGCCTTGGCTCGCAAACTGCGCAATTTCCTCCCTGACTTGTATCCCACTATGAGAGCTATAAAGACCAGACTGAACAGATTGTAGGGTACAGGCTTCCCGATTAGTATCATGGTTTTCTGCGTAGTTGGATGCGTGTCAAGGTTCATCATCAAGAAAATAGGTGACTCAGTGGGTTCTAACTTCGTGCATCTGAATGATTTTCCTTTACATGTTCTTCTTCTTTTTCTCCTGATAAGCAGCTAACAGTTCAATTTGCATAAATAGCAATCAACTGCTTCACATCAATCTTTTGGCCAAACTGCAGGCACAAGGAGAATACAAGGGAGGCCACAAGGGGCCATTGAAGAAGCTAAACCATTTGCAGACGAAAACGCATTTGAAAGCAATTCACTGAAAGGAGTTGTTCTGAGCTCACCTTTGATTGAGTTCAGCATAGTTCTTTCAGCAACAAACAATTTCAGAGACAAGCTTGGCGCTGGTGGATTTGGTCCAGTTTACAAGGTAGGGTAATTCAAACTTCTGCATCTCTTGTTCCAGGAATATGATTGAGCTTTGATTTCGTTCTCGGCGATGTATTTAGATCATCACTTGACCAACATGAGCTGATAATACTTTCAGGGGAGACTACCAGATGGCCAGGAAATCGCTATCAAGAGGTTGTCGAACAGCTCCAGTCAGGGATCAGAAGAGTTCAAGAACGAGGTGACTGTTCTGTCCAAACTGCAGCACCGGAACTTGGTTAGGCTTTTTGGCTGCTGTGTTAATGGAGAAGAGAAGATGCTGGTATATGAATACATGCCTAACAACAGCCTTGACTCTTTCATCTTTGGTAAGTTTTGTTCGGTTCTTGCGATTTGTGCGGTTTGAATCTTGTAGCAGTATAAAGAGCCACTAACTGAACTTCTCTGCTTGATGACAAATTTGTATCAGATGAAACTAAGAGACCGGTGTTGGGGTGGAAATTGCGGTACAATATCATTCAGGGGATCGGGAAAGGGTTACTGTACCTTCATCAGGATTCCACTCTGAGAATTATTCACAGGGACCTGAAAGCGAGCAATGTTCTGCTTGATGATGATTTCATCCCCAAGATATCTGACTTCGGCATGGCAAGAATTTTCGGCGAATACCAACGTCAAGCCCTTACTCACCGAATTGTTGGAACCTAGTAAGTCTCCTTCCCTTTTGTTCATCCAGTATAACTGCAAGAAATAAATGTACAGGGAAGTCTAGAATAGAAGCCAGACTGTCATGACATGCATGCTTCTACAAAGTTTGCTCAGTATTGGCTGCACGTCTTGTTTCTCATTAACCTCACAGAAAACAACTTAATAGCCTTGCTTAATTGACAATTCGGCAGTACGTTGCTTGGCTGCAGCTAATGTGTTAAAATCTGTGGAAATGCAGTGGCTATATCGCCCCCGAGTACGCGATGGAGGGAAAAATCTCTGAGAAATCCGACGTCTTCAGTTTCGGCGTGTTGATCCTGGAGATCGTGTGTGGCCGTAGGAACAGCTCCCTCGTTGATCACGAATGGTCAATGAACCTTGTGGGCCACGTAAGACAGCCTGCACTGTCTTCTCCAAGACTCCAATATACTCCCTCTGTAAACTAATGTAAGAGCTTTAGTAGTCCAAACGCTCTTACATTAGTTTACAGAGGCAGTACCATTTTGCTGTTACAACAAACTTGCCAATAACCATCATGCGTTCCATCATCCATGCTTGGCTCCAAATTGCAGGCATGGACGCTGTGGCAGGAAGGCAGAGCCTCGGAGCTCATCGACGCGCTGATGGGAACCACATACTCTAAGGACGAGGTCTGCAGATACATCCAGGTGGGTCTCCTGTGCGTGCAGGAGTTGCCAGGTGACAGGCCGGCCATGCCCCTCGTGCTCAGGATGCTGGGTGGCGACGTCGAACTTCCCGCTCCGAAGCGTGCCGCGTTCTTCGCCGGAAGAGCTCCTGCAGACGACAAGGACACCGAATCAGGGAACCACTTGACCTATACTGAATTGGAAGGCAGGTAGACAGATTTTGGAGTGCGCCCTTGGCTCAGGTTGCTGATGTTTGTGCCTGTGCATATATACTACCAGAGATGGTGTTTCAATGTGACTGTTCTATTGCTCTTCCTGTTACCTGTAGTGCTTTTCAAAACCTATTGCTAGTGCTTCTGTTTTCGGTATGAATCTACTTGTAATTTGTGAGCAGTATGTATATTTGGGATACTGATTGTATATAGTTATGTAAATGATTGGAATAATTTTATTTTTGTGTTCTGTTGTTTTTGTTGTTGTATATTCTGTTGTTCTGTAGGATAAACTGTGATGTTTGGGCGAGCAGACCATGTTGGGACGGTGTGAGCTGCGGCATTGGAATGATAATAGGCATGAAAGTAAGGAATGAAGGAGCCTGCAAACAAGCACATGAGTGCTCGGTGGTACAAAATTATATGCATGGAATGAGCTGATTAAATGTCAAATGTGCAACAAAGTGGCAGTCTGTGCAACTTGTGAGTTGATAACAGAACAGTGAAGGGTACCCAAATAATGCAATCATGTACTCCCTTCGTCCGGAATTACTTGTCTTGGAAATGGATGTATCTAGAACTAAAATACGTCTAGATACATCCATTTTTGCGACAAGTAATTCCGAACGGAGGGAGTACTATGTAACCTATCTGAACTCAGGAAACCAGAAATCCAACACATGAGAGATCCAATTATAAAAGAGCAAAAGTGAGATGGCGGGGCGAGAAGGGAGAGATATGTGGAGTACTTTATTCGCAAGTTCGGCTATTGGCCAATATCAACACAACAGGGTTTGTACAACAAAATTTTGATCCTCATGATGTGTCGGTGCAATATGTAGACACCACACCAGTATAGGCAGTTGTCCGTGTCTACTTCTCTGAAATCTGAATCATTGATCAATATATAAGCACAAAATATATTACAGATGTACATGTACACTAGTACATGATTAATAGGCTGAATAGGCCATACTCTGCTACGTATGATTATCATCCACCTCCATTTGTGTGTCTACTACTTACCGCTGATCCTTGTTAACCTTCGAACAGGTCCAAAACATGATTCTCTATGTCGTCAGGAGTGTACTTTATGTACTTGCTTGGATTTTTTCCCAGACAGCAGCCATACCTTCCTAAAAGTGTGCGATAAGCGTTAAGAACTTGCTGCAATATAATTAACCGTAAGTGTTGTCTAAGTTGAGGGTTGGGCACTTTCCATGTCGTTTGGACCCTGCTTATTTCTCCGAATGCCGAATTGAAATTCTTCATGCTTTTTCTCATCCATTGAGAGACAGATCCTGGACCGAAATTCACAGAATATTTACTCACACCGTGATCACTCAACTGAAGCAGAGCTTCAGTCCATGATGCTCGAAGGTAAGCTGTCGCATACTGTTCCACCCGTATGACAAGCTGTTGGTGGTTGTCGTTCCCCATGGACATACTCAGATCGGGAGACCCTGAGCCTTTAACCACATGCATTGCATTATTCATCAGGAAAATGTACCTCATGCGCTCGTCCTCGTAAGACTCAGCATTCTCCTCAACCTTCAGCTGCAAACGAGCGAGCAACATGAGCACATAACGTTCCCAGCGACTCTTAGTTCTCTTTGTGCTCTGCTCCTTCCCCTTCCCCTCATCGTCGTCCTCCACACGGGGTAATATATGATTGATCGTGTCATTGTACTCAACAAGTAGTTCAATAAAAATGATGACATGGCGTGTCAATGGCAGGATATCTCCATCAAGTACTTTATGTTGGCATGGTTTAAGGTTAGAATATACATTCAGGAACTCCAGAAGGAGACTTGATGCTTCTTCCCCAAGCTTATCTAGAAGCAAACTGGCCTGCTCACTAATCACACCCTTGGCATCACCAGACATGAGGACATTTATACTTGGTTGAAGCTTTACCAATTCCTCATGCATCTGTAGAAGCAGGGGTACTTTATGATATTGCTGGTCATTCACTTTGACATTGGTCATCATACTTCCAACTGCGAGCAATTGTCCAGTACACCCTGTGGTGGCTCTGGCAAAACAATCCTCCTCCACCTTACGATCACACCCGAAAATCTGAGCGCAAGCGTCGCGTTCTTCAGGGAGGACTATGCTGACAACGACTCTGAGTGCTTGGATCCACATTTTCTGATTCTTCTCATATAGCTGCATGCTGCATGCGCCATTGGCAGTTGCTTCTGCTTGGTTGTTGTGGCTTTTTTGCTCAATCTGAACACCGAGCAGAGAAAGGCATTGCATTAACATGTTGTGGCGTGTTTCTCCGTAATCACGACACATGTTTGGTGCATGGCCAGCAAGTATCATAAGCTCAGCAATCTCCTTTAGATAGATCGAAGCTTCAGGGTCAATCAGATACATGTGTACTTTCTCCATGCACACAGGACCGCTGCTATATCCAGTACCATAACTTCGGCTCTCACCACTAGGACTTGTGGAAAATGATGAGAAGCTGAGATCTTCCAAGTTGGGGATTGATGAAAATGAGAAGGATCGCATAAAAGGGGCAATGCAGTCGTGCAGTGATTCTTGGAGACTGCTAGGGGGGTATAAATATGTGCCTAAAGTAAGAACTTGGCGGAAGTCATCCTCAAGGTGTACCATGGCAACCTGCAGGGAAACTAAGCGGTCAATTCGAGTACAACCTGCATAACACGTACATGACCAAATTTTGCTGAATTATTGTCTGACGATCTTCCATATTATTTTCTCAAATTTTGCTGAATTATTGTCCGATGATCTTCCATAGCGTAGTTTTATCAGCAGCAAGATGTAAGCGCTGTAGATTAGTTTATAGGGAAACATTCAATTAGTGAGATTGTGGTATTGAAAAAAATAGATATGTTAGGCCAATTATCTGACCGATTATATATATATATATATATATATATATATGTGTTGTCAAAGATGTCAATATGAACATGAATTCGTCATATTTTCAAGTCATAATAGCTGCTAGTAGCACTGGAAGTATTAAAATGAACCCTATAGATTGAAGAACACGTATGTTATAACGGGACGGAGAATTCTAGTTATGGAGATGCTTCAGTGTACATGGGCTTCTTGTGTACCGGTGCACGCAATCAGATCCCGGTTGACGTCTTTGAAAGCTCTTACAAAATCTGGAAAAAAAATGACATATGGTAGATAATATTGTGATATAACAAAATTGCATTTTTTTCCAAGCTATTTTTTATTTATATTTGAATCATCGTGACATCATAGTTTCATGCTGCGTCATGTAGTAATTTTCTTCTCAGATTTGCTTTCCCCATCTCACAACTACTTTTCAAGATTTATATGTTTGAGAGACGTCTCTCCATTACTGTAATTTTCTCATACAACACAACATTTGCTGAAACAAGAATACTACTCCCAATTCTGAACTTTCTACCTTCAGAAGCTATACTCGATTTTCCAAATTGAGCGTCAGATATCAATGAATAATGATACTCGTACATGAATCTACTACTACTACCAGAAGTGAGGCTGGACAGTTAGGCTTACCTGTAAGGCGATTTCGTAGAGGCCGCCACCACCTGAGCGGAGGGAGATGAGGTCCTTGACCGCCGCCACAAGACCAGCCGAGTAGGAGACGACGCCGTCGCTGTCCTCGACGGCCGCGCCCCGAGATGCCCACCTCCTTACGGCCTCATCGGCGGCCTCCAGCCTCCGGAGGCCGAGGTCGGCAATGGAGTCGTCGGTTCCCGGCGGCTGCGACGCCATGTTGCCCGTCGCAGGTTAGTGCTTGCTGTGGCAGCGTTGCAGATCTCCGCCTGAGAGTCGAGACGAAGTAAGTTGCAAGAAGCGCGTGCATTAGTCAAAGTCAACGTCAACACGAGGAGAGACGTGGGCGGACTTTGCAGGCTTGCAGCGACAGCCAGTGGAACAATTTTCATTTGTGTGGAGGTTTTTTCTTCTTTTTACTAGTATAAAGTAAGGTGACCATGCGTTGCAATAAATCAAAAGTAGAATAATACTTCCTCTGTTTTTAAATATAAGTCTTTTTAGAAATTTCACTACGGACTATATACAGAGCAAAATGAGTGAATCTACACTCTAAAATATGTCTATATACATCCGTACATAGTTTCTATTAAATCCTAAAAAGACTTATATTTAGGAACGGAGGGAGTATTTGTTCACAAACTTGAAAAGAAAACACTCTAATTTTGATATACACATATGACTAAAAATTATTTCACTTAAAATATATTCCTCAGGCTGAGGATGTGGTTGGTTTCAAGATACTAAGGTTTTTTTTGCAAATTGAAGCAGAAAAGTAGGTTATTGTTGCAAAAAAAGTCATAACTTACCTCACAGTCATTAGATGCAAATCTAATGGTCGAAAATGATGGGTGGCAGACGCATCATCATCATCAACTGAGTCTTTTATAGGAGTAGAGATATTAACCAATGCTAGGTCGGTTTCCAAATTACGCTAACCCCAACGCAGAAGTTTTCTAGTACATTACTCCCTCCGCTCCCTTTTACTTCGCGTATTAAATTTGTAACAAGTCAAACTTTGCAAAGTTTGGCCAAAATTATATTAAAAAAATATCAACATCTACAGTACCAAATTTATATACTATGAAACTACATTTCATAGTGAATCTAACTATATTGGTTTAGCATTGTGAATGTTAATAATTTTTCTGTAAGTTTGGTCAAAGTAGAGGTACTTTGACTTCGGACAAAACTTATATGCAGAATAAAAAGGACCGGAGGGAGTACAAAAGAATCAATGTAGGTGGGGTTTGAGAGCTCCCAGTAATCACTCTTAGATGTTTACCTTGCGATAAATAATTATTACTACTCCCTTCGTTCCTAAATATAAGTCTTTTTAGAGATTTTAATATGACTTTATATGTAGCAAAATGAGTGAATCTACACTCTAAATTACGTCTATATACATCCGTATGCAGTCCATGTTTAAATCCTAAAAAGACTTATATTTAGGAATGGAGGGAGTACTTATTT